TCCCCTCGACCCCCCTCCCCCTCTGGCCCCATCAGGCCCCCCCTCCCCCAGCATTAGTAACCGATGATACGATTCATGAACCAGATTCGTTATCATGCAATCCCTTTCTATTTGCCTCTCCCCCGGTCCGCGGAGCAGGGCTGAGCGAATACTTCTTCTGCTATATTGACAGCCGCGTCCGGAATCGCTCCGAGTTGCCAATCATTCTGGACTCCATGTGGCTCTTTCTCGGGTTCTACCCTGCACACGTACCTTGAATAGGGCGGGCAAAGGAGCGAGAAAGGGCGACGGAGCCGTAGCATGTTTCGGCGCCTACAACATTTTTGCGGCTATTTTGTCTAATGACAGCTTCGGAAGGCTTAGTAGGTGGTATGATTTCTTTATTGTTTGGACGCGCGTCGGCAGAAAAAGTACCGTTTCCATCCTAAGTCAAGGTGAAAAAACGAAAGGTCCCTTTTTTTTTGTTCGTGAACGGGCGGGACGGTCGGGAGGACGGGATGGCCAACAGACGATGTGGAGAGGGATCGTATTCCTACACTCCACTCCACTCCACTCCACCTTTTCCCTTGTGGCACCGAACGAATCAAATTCACCTTGTAAAGCGAGCCTGGTCGATAACATCTTTCACGTAACAAGTCAATCTAAAAAAAAGGACGCAGTGTCAAGATACGAGAGGAAGAAGGGCGGCGAATGTTTTGTTACGAGCCACCACCAAGAAAGAAAACAAGACGGGTAAAAACAAAAAAAAAGAGGGGAAAAGATCATTCGTGTATGTCTGGGCACCAAGGAAAAAACCTGGGCAAGGCTTAAAATTTATTTCATCTCTAAATATAGTTTCGCTTTGCCCTCCCCACCTCCCTCTTCTCAGGTAAGAGTGTTATACAGAAAGAACAAAGTGTGATAAGGTATGTAATATATATGAGATAAGCAAAATAAAAAACGCCCAATGATACTAAGAATCTGATTGATTGATTTGCTCGTTCAGAAATGCTAAGGTAGGACGGGGGGAGAAGCGGTTACTCTATCTAGATTATGTAAATGTCCTGTTCTAACTTGTTGACTATTGTTTCAGCGCGGGCTAGAGATTCCTTCTGCGCATCGCCTAGGATCATGGTGCCGATGGATTTGACATCGCCGAGTAGGGCTCTGACGGCCCTGAGTTGGAAGTTGATGAGGGCGCGGACGAGATGGTCCCACTCGAGCGCCGAGTTGATCTTGTAGTCCCCGAGGAGAAGTTGCTGCCAGCCGGATGTTGTCGGCTGTGAGGGCGACGACGAGGATGCCGCTGCTGCCGATGCCGCCGCTGCTGCTGCTGCTGCGAGACACTGGGTATCCATGTCCATGTCGGTCGTTGTGCCCGAGAGATGCGAGCCGGGTAGGCAGGCGAGCTGTGAGGGCGCCACCGTAGTAGCACCGCTGTGGTTATGGGTATGCGTATTGCTGTTGTTGTTGTTGTTGTTGTTGTTGTTGGCGTTTCGCAGACCCCCGTCTTCCATGCGGTACATTGTTACAATGCGGCTGCATGCTACGACTATACGCTCGCTCATGAAGACGAGGAGTATGAAGTTCTCGCGCTTGGCCATGCAATTGCTGCACTTGAGCATGCAGCGGCAAAGCTCAATGACTTCTTTTTGGTTGGCGACAATGGAGTCGAGACCTGCTCTGCTACCCGAACTACAGCTTGCTTCTAGTTTTTCCAGGGCGAAGATGACGTCGGCGAGGCATTGGCAGGTTTTCTCAAATGAACCCTGAGACCAGTACATTGAGGATGCGAGGGCGGTAATGTCGAGAGATTCCGTGTCGATGGGACCCATCTCAAATTGTGGGTCGTGTGATTGGCTGTTGGATAGTAGTTGTTGTTGTTGTTGTTGTGGGGTCTCATCTCTGGAGGCCGGGGGGGTAGGAAGCGCCTGGGGGGTGCCGATGTTGGACCGTACCATGGCGTCTGGGCTGTTGTAGTGTATGCTTGAAGAGCAGAACGGGAAGGGCAGGATGCTGCACGTGCAGAGATCGTCTCTTTGCTCGCTCATCTCTCGTTGGTCGTAGTCGGCGAGAAATGGTAGGCTAGATGTTGATGTTGTTGATGATGATGATGATGATGATGATGATGATAATGATGATGATGCTTCAGAGAGTTGGTGTGATGTGTAGTCTGCAATATGTGGGTCCCCTTTCTCACTGCCATCGTTTCTGTCTGTGTGGGCTGATGATATAGAGCCTCGTTGCTTGATATGATCTTCTCCCTCGTTTCCGCTGTCTTTGGGGCTCGGTGATGTCTGCGGTTGGGCAGATCTGTCTGATGATTGTGATTCCTGGCGTTTGGAGTTGACGTCCGTCTTCCATACTCGCTGGCTGCTTCTTTGCCTCACTGATGTGAAACTGCATGTCTTCTTGAGACGCCGGCATCGACTGCAGCTTTTTCCACTGACAGTGCATTTGACCTGTACAGGTTGTTGCACGCGTCAGTAAACCAGATAGTGAAAGCGTATGTTGCTTGAAGGGTAAGATGCAAGTCATGGTAGTCTTACCTTGTATGCTCTGCATCGGTCACAGGCTGAGTTCATTCCTGGGTTGAGGGATCCATATGGCCTCTCGACAAACTCTGCCTCCTTGGTAGGCGAGTTGCAGTGTAAAGTTCCGAACATGATGGGCGGGTGATCTTCTGTATCCGGTCTATCTTTTCCAAGTATGAATAGCGGTGAAGTGGGTTGCCAGCTCGGGTTTGTTTCTTTGATAGAATATGTACAAGTTGTAAAATCGGGGCATTGATGAATAAATGGGTGTGAATAATGGCACTACGACCAATGCCGAAATGGTACTAGTAGTGGTGGTGGTAGTCGCTGAATGAAACATTCATAAATATGTCGGACATTCGGGCTCGATAAGCAAGCCCGAGAGCCGCGTTACCAAAGATAGGCGGTTTGGAGGCCAGCGGATGCCTTGTTAGCCATTCCTTGGGAATTTGACGATCCAGTGCTTAGAGTGTTGGTGGCTGCTGACAGAAGGTGAGACCGAGTACAAGGTGGATCCCCCGCGCTTCAGATCCCAAGGCGGCTCTAGGGCCAAATGAATGTCGGTGGGCCTCGCTGGGCCTCCCCTGGGAGCCTTGAGGCGGTGGTTTGGCGTGCTACTGCGGCCCGTTTGGCTTCCTGGTCGCAACCTAACGCCATGGGTTTTCGTATCGCACGCAGGCTGTGGCGTTCAGGGCCCTAATCCTTGGCTAGTTCGCTACATTAGTCGGAAGGTTTGTAATGGCTTGCAGCCGCAGGCACAATGTCTTTTGCATGCTGCGAGCGAGCTAGCCAAGGCCGTCTGCGGTCGCAGGCTGGTGGCCATCGGCTTATCCCATTGTGCTTGTAGCTACATACGTACAGTACTTACGCACACTTTACCCGTAGGCTGACACGGTCCATCAGCGCAGACAGAGCCTACTACGGAGCGGGCACGGTACACCTAGATGCTAAGGTCGAGCCATTGCGGGGATTGCCAAAGTACTCGCAGGGCTGGCGAGTGGGACTTCCATGGGGTGCGTGCGTGGGTAGTGTTAGATGGATAGTATTAAGCATGCAAGTATGTACTTATTCAATTAGCTTGGAACAAGATGCAAGATAGGAGCAACTCGGCGCCTGAGATGGTGCCGAGTTGTCAGCATGGATGCTGTTCGGCGATCAAGGGTGAAGGGAGGAATGGCCGGGAGGTCTTGGATGCACGTGGGCGACGTGGGGGGGTGGATGCAGGTAGGTGGGTGCAGGTAGGTGGATACAGGTAAGTGCAGAGAATGGGTGCAAATGGGTGCAGGTGGGTGTAAGGGCCGGTGCAGGCTCGAAGGAGTGTGGCAGACACGCATTGCCAGGGTCTTCGGGAGGAAGCGGGAGGCCAATCGGGAAACGCAATGGAGGGGGCCAGAGAATTTGCTCAGCCAGAGCGATATACGTACGTAAGCAGGAACAGCACGTTCGGTCACCGTACGTACAATCCTCTCTCTCTACCACCCACACTGCCGCTCAGCACGTAAGCGGACACTTTGATTGTCTTGTATGCCTTGAATGCCTTGCGTTGTGACAAATGCGATACATGGCCGCCTGATTCAGCATTCAGCGCTCGGGCACGCTGCCACACAACCTCGCTCACTGCCGTCATTTTGGCTGCATTCTAGCTCGCTTCTAGTCGCTTCAAACAGCGCGAGACAGTCCCAACACAGCCTTGGCTGGTGGACCAAGACAAAGGAGCGGAATGTCGTGTTTGCCTCAAGTTGGAACGTGTACAAGAGTCGCAGGGATGGCGATGTTTTCACCGCGCTGGGTCATCCCAGCCAATGGCGATGAGACGAGCCAATACTGCTTGATAAATTACACCGCATGTCAAAGTATCTATATAGGCTATTGCGCACGTCTTTAGGCATATCTTTTAGTACCAAAATCTGGGCGTATGATCAAATCTGTTGGCACTCGGTGTAGGCTCACCCTTGGTTATCAAAACATGTCCCCATGACCTTGTAGTTTGGAGCCTTCTTGATGCTGGCCCCGTCAATCATGCGAGTCTCGTGGCGGTCTGCGTAAGTATGGTTGAGCAGCGCGGCATACTACAAAACACAACCTAACAGCTTGGCTGTCAAAGAAAAAGGATCAATAGAACTCCAGTTGTATCAGACACGTAATCAGGCGCTCCTACTAGCATATCCCTACATAGGAATAACAAGTTCATCCAACTCGGCTAAACCCTTTACCCCCCCCTGGCTCCCTTGCCGGTAAGCGAAACAGACGAGACGACGCAACAGTGAACAGAGCGTCAGCCATTTCAAGCGCCAAGCAAGCAGTCCCAAATCTGGATTAGCGCCGGATGTTGCGAACAAGGGCGGGGGGGCTGACTGTCGCTCCACCCTCCCTCGCGCTCATCATACTATCCCACTCCCCGTTCCGTTGCTTGTACACGGCTACACCTTGGCTACTGCACCACTTTGCGATACCATGCTAACCACTCCCGCACAACTCCCTAGCCCGGATGACGGCCAGGAAAACAACAACTCCAACAGCAGCAACGATGCGGCCAGCACAGACAAACGGAAACCAGTGCGGCGCGACCAAGAGAAACGACGTCAGCAAAACATAAAGGCACAGAAGAAATACCGTACGTTACCTGTCACTGCACTGCACTGCACTGCACCTCAGCATCTCACGCCTGAATCTCTCTCTACTCACCCACCAACATTTCTGACTTGCAAGCCCAGGTGACAAACTGAAGAGGCGCCTCGATCAACTCGAGACACTTGCCGCCACGGTCGCCGAGGGCGCTGCAACAACGGAGGCAACCACTCCTGATGCTGTCGTCATCGCAACTCCTGCGCCTTCAAGTGTATCGTCGAGAATATCATCAAGAAGCATCACAGCCGATGGCCAGATCATGTGCCATTACTTGGGACAAAGTCTCAGTAGTGAATATAGCAATGAATCTACTGCCTTCTCTGACCTCGACCTCTCCGCCTCCATCTTCTCAAACTCTCCCTCGGACCTCGCCCCTTGCGACACGGTTGGCTCCATCGAGATTTCCAACTGCAACCTAACTGTCGACCCTGCGTCGCGGTTGCATCCTTGGATTGATTATGTCGAGTGTGGCTGTGTCAGCCCCCACGTTCAGGCCAGCTCAGCAGTAGGCATCAGTGGATACCGCGATTTAAAAGCGTTGAACCCCGACTTGAGCCCATTCCCCGTCGACCCCGTCGACCACACTCTCAGTGTTGAGCGCATCTGCATTGTGCGCGCAGTCACGGCGAACCGCCTGCACCTTGGCATCACCGAGGAAATGCTCTGTCATGACGATGCTGAATCCCCCTTCTTCCGTCCTTTCCGCAACACCATCGGGGACTCTGGTATTGAGGGTGTCGTCAAGACCATGCAGTCCATTTTCAAGAGTCTGAAGCCCGATCTTAGGCCCATCAAGGAACAGATTGTGATTAGGCATCATCCCATTATCGATCTTCTCCCATTTCCTACCCTGAGAAAGAATCTGATTGCCAAACAAGACTGCTTCTACAACCAAGAGCTTTATTACGATCTGATTAGTGGATTAGTCTGCTGGGCAGGCGTTGGAAGGTCTGCAGAAAATTCTGCTCCCGGCAGTGCATCGACAATCACGCCTTGGGACGGCAGAAGCTGGGAGGCTAGGACTTGGTTCTTGCAAAAATACTGGACGGAACTTGGCGGTGAAGAAGGAGAATTAGTGCGACAGAGTGAATGGTGGCGAAGAATGAGGGGAGAGGATACTACTCTTTGGCTGGGGGCCTAGGTGGCGCTAGCCTTGTTTATTTTATAATGTTGCGAGTTTTTTTTCAACTTGATATTTTAGGTGTACACTTGGGTTTTGTATCAAATATGTTGTGGTTCGATTTGGACTTGGCGTTGAATGGGGGAGAGTCTGGCGTTCAAAGGCGAGAGATAGCAGATCAGATTCATATTCTATGTTCGTCGACTTGACTCTCGCCAGGCCTTTTTTGCCCAGAGGTTGGTTTTTTTCTTCCCTTCGATCTAACTCGACTAATATCTGTATCATTCACAGCATAAAAAAATCTGCGGCACAAGGCACTGCTCGAAGTGCAAAGGCTGATGCCTCTGAAAGTCTGCATATGCTGCAAAAGGTAAAAAAAAACACTTTCACCATTCACATTTTCAAAACAGAAGAAGAAGCGGAGATTTTAAGAAAAACCTGAAAAACTGACCATTGAACACACAGAGATCTAACTAATCCTCCCAAACCTAGCACCTGCGACATAAAAGAAAGAAAGAGAAAAAACAAAGTTTACAATTTCCATCGACTCAGGCCGATACCACATAAGCGACCGATTTCCCTTATTTCTAATGCTTATTGCATTTTTCCATCCATCCTTTGGCATTTCCCTAACATCGTGTCTAGATCCCCTGCATCATAACAAATCTAGTTGAACTTGACCTTGAAGCCCTTGGACTTGAGACTGGGCAGAGGAACAACCATGTCGTGGGCGGGCTTAACATCCAACTCGGTAGTCTCAAAGAGGTCGAAGTCGACGGCACCAGGACGGAACATGGTGGCGATGATGTAGTTGAGTTCGCAGTAGGCAAGGCTGTAAAAAAGAAATCCTCGGTTAGCTTTCTTTTGTCCTTTTGTGTGTTTGAGAGAAGGGAAGGAGGGAGGGAAAAAAAACTTACTTCATTCCGAGGCAGTGGCGGGAACCCTTGGAGAAGGGAATGTAGTTCTTCTTCATGGCGGGAGTGACGTTGCTGAGCCACCTGTCTGGGTTGAACTCGTGGGGGTTGGGGAAGATCTTGGGGTCTGTGTGCTGGAAGTAGGCGGACATGCCGACGGGGACACCGGCGGGGATGACCCACTCCTTGAACTGCAGGGGCTGGTTGGGGGAGACACGTGGGCGGCGGTGGATAGTACCGAAGCTGAGACTGTAGTGGGGGGTTAGCTTTCAATCATCCTCTCTGTGTGTGTACACTATGGGTTGCGGGTGGAAACGTACCGAAGACCTTCCTTGAGAACGGCTTGGAGGTACTCAGCCTTTTCAATCTCGGCCCAAGAAGGCTTCTTGTGGGGGTATCCCTCCATGATGGGCTTGAGCTCTTCGGTCAGACGGCGGTGGATCTCGGGGTTGGACTTGATGTAGTAGACAAGGAAACACATGGTACCAGCGGTGGTCATGGTGCCGGAGCCAATGAGGACCTGAGCCTCGCGGAGGAGACGCTCATCGGAAAGTTCGGAGGCGGGGAGATCGCTGTTGACAAGGTGACGGAAGAGGGTAGGGCGGCCAAGAAGCGAGGTGTCCTTGGTGGGCTGGGCACCCTTCTCACGCTTGGTGTCCTTGATGCTGTCATAGCACATCTGCCAATAGTTAGCATGGCTGCAATATTCGGAGTTGTGGTTGGGGGCGAGTTTATCATACCATTCGGAAGGTGTTCCAGTTCTGCGCACCGGGGTCAATGACAGCGAGGACAGACTCAGGGATAAGACGGATGAGGCTATACTGATTAGCACATGTAGGGTTTTGTGGGTGGCGGGATGTTTCTTACTGAATGAGCCAAGGAAGACCCATGAAGAGAGGGAGAGTAACGACACCGCTGTGGAAGAGATCGAACCAGCTGGGAGTGAAGTCGGGGGTGGAGGTGAAGTGGGGTGGCTCATCGATGCAGAGAGCACTGATGATATCTCCAGAGTAGGCAGTGAAGGCGTGGTCGAGCCTGACGACCTTGCCAGTGCCCTTGAACTCTTCGAAACGCTTGACAACGAGTTCCTCGGTGAGATCGGCGACCATGGGCTCCAGCCTGTTGATGCCAGCGCGGGAGAAGTAAGGGTCGAGAGGCTTTCTCCTCTTGCGGTGAAGCTCGTGGGCCACAGTGGCCAAGTGGGAGCCCTCGAAGTCGACGACACCGTTGACGAAACCCTCATAACGGTCGCTGGGGCGGACAGAGCCAGAGACGTAGAGCTCATCGTAGTAGTCGGGGTCGCGGATGGACAGCTCGTGGGGGTTGATCCTTACAATCGGGCCTAGGCATTGACGTTAGACTTTGTGTAATTTGCGGTATACCGAGGATCCGGGGTATCGGGAAACACTGTGGTGCTACATACCATACTTTGCGTGCATCTCCTCAATCTTGTGGAAATACTGTCCCTTGTGGATAACATCGTAGTACAGCTCGTACCAGAAGGTTGCTGCAGCGATCTTGGGACCTGGGAACTTGGAGATGGGAGACAGATAAAGGCGGTAGATGACCAGGCCAATAGCATAGGCTGCGCTGAGGCCTGCGATGGCGATTCCAGCGCTGAGAAGGGTATTCTCAGGCAGGAGATCAAGGTACTTTTCCAACTGTAGAGAAGACATGGCGAATATGAGAAGGAAGAAGAGAAGGTGAGAGACGCTCTTGTGTGGATGGTTTAACAAATTCTGTTGGCTGAGGGCTTGATGATCTATAAGTGAGTCGCAGCGATGTAGCAGACAAGGCAAAAAGATGCCATTGATACCAATAGTCTGATTGAAACTGCACCGTCTCACCGGCGGGCTAGTGTTCTGGGATACGGTAGTTACCCAAAGCTGACCAAAATCGGGATTTTCGCCCAATTAGGCCACTTCCCATTCAGGACCACCAACAGTCTAGGCCCACACAACGCGAAGCGGAATTTCACCGGCTTCCAATTTCCATTCTATCCTGCTGTCTGGCGGGGTTCTCTGCGCGACAGCTTGTTGGGGCTGTCGCTGGTCGGAGTTTACGCTTTCGGTAGCTGATTGCTGTGAAACGCACTCCCACCCCACCAGGTGCCTGCGTGTGCTCGCACACTAAGCGCTGCACAACAATGTGTAGCACTTACAAGGATATCTATTTAAAAGAACTAGTTGACCTCCAAAGTTTATATCGCATCACCATCGAACCACCGTTCATAAGCCACCATCGTCGCCCATCCAAAGCAATCCGTATGTTGACTACCATTCCTCAAGCGGAATCAAAGTTTACAAGCGATCTCACATTCATTGTTGTCATTAATCTTGTCTTGTTGAGCTTGTATCCTTTGGTCTACTACAGCCTCTCTTCCACCTCTCCCATCTCCACCTACAGGCCTCAACTCTTCACCGGTAACACTACAGTTGTTCGAGTTTAAAAGACAAAATGGCCCCTTCATACGACCAACCCTACTCCGTCCTCCTCGACAGGAACATCTACGACCCAGACAACCTCTGCGAAGGTATCGATCTCAGGCGCCACCATGCTGCCGATCTTGAGGATGTCGGTGCTTTCAGGTGTCAGGAAGACTGGCGCCGCTTGGTTGGACCTCTCGAGAGGCCCTTCCGAGGTGGCCTTGGCCCACAGTTCAGCTTCATCACTGTTGCTGTGCCCAACTGCATTCCCGAGCGAATGGAGATTACTAGTTATGCTCTCGAGTTTGGCTTCATCCACGACGATGTCATCGACGAGCACATCGAGGATGCCGACTTGAGCGACATGGAGGAGGGTTTGGAGCAGGGAGCCAAGACTGGCAGCATCGACGAGCGAGGTGCCTCTGGCAAGCGTGTCATCGCTGCTCAAATTATGCGCGAGATGATGGCCATTGACCCTGAGAGGGCCATGGTTGTCGCTAAGAGCTGGGCTGCTGGTGTTCAACATTCTGCCAGGCGAGAGGAATTGACCAACTTCCAGACTCTTGATGAGTACATCCCCTACAGGAGTCTCGATGTCGGATACATGCTCTGGCACGGCCTGGTCACCTTCGGGTGCGCCATCACCATCCCCCCTGAGGAGGAAGCACTTTGCACCGAGTTTCTCACTCCAGCCCTGTGTGCTGCTTCGCTCGTCAACGATCTGTTCTCCTTCGAGAAGGAGAAGAATGACGCCAACATCCAAAACGCTGTCTACATTGTCATGAAGGAGCACAACTGTGACGAAGCAGAAGGCCGAGAGCGCCTCAAGGCCCGTATCCGACAAGAGATGGCCAAGTTTGTCCAGATTGTCAAGGACACCAAGACACGAACTGACATCTCCGACGACACCAAGCGATACATCGACGTCATGCAGTACACTCTTTCCGGCAACGTTGTTTGGAGTGCTCAGTGCCCACGATACAACCTGAAGGCCGAGTGGAATGAGCTCCAGATGCTGCGAGCCAAGCATGGTGTAGCCAAGTACCCAGCAACCTTCCCACCAGCCGATGGCTCCATGGACCACATCTGGAAGAAGGGTTCGACACAGGGCGAGGCAAAGGGTGAGAAGAGGAAAAGGCACAGTGCAAACGGCACCAACGGAGTGAACGGCACCAACGGTGTCAAGAAGCCAACCATCTCGAGAGTTGGCATCGATTCACTCCAACTGAACGAGGTAGTATCGCTAGCTCTTAGCACCGACCTCCCTAACTTGACCACTGATGTAAGTTCTCCATGACATCTTATCAGAAAATTGACGCCTCCACAAAGACTGTAGCTAACAATGCACCTCAGGTCGTTCTTCAACCCTACACCTATATCACCTCAATGCCCTCAAAGGGTTTCCGCGACCAAGCCGTTGACTCCATCAACAAGTGGCTCAAGACCCCTGCCAAAGCAACTCAAAAGATTAAGGAGATCATCAACATGCTACACACTGCATCCCTCATGTTAGTCCTTCCATCCCAACATCCCAAAAATGAACTATTTTCTAACCTCATCTCTAGGCTTGACGATCTTGAGGACAACTCACCCCTCCGCCGTGGCAAGCCCTCAACTCACAACGTCTATGGCGCCTCGCAAACCATCAACAGCGCAACCTACCAATTCACACACGCCACCGCTCTGGCCGCCGGTCTCAGCAACCCCGACTGCCTCCGCATCTTCAACGAGGAAATCAACGAGCTCTACGTCGGTCAGAGCTACGACCTCTACTGGACCCACAACATCATCTGCCCGACCTTCGGCGAGTACCTCAGGATGGTCGACATGAAGACCGGTGGTCTCTTCCGCATGCTGACCCGCCTCATGACCGCCGAGTCACCGCTCAACGGCCAAATCTCCGACTCGGAGCTCAACCCCCTCGGCTGCCTCATCGGCCGCTTCTTCCAGATCCGCGACGACTACCAGAACCTTGTCTCTGCCGAGTATGCGCAGCAAAAGGGTTTCGCCGAGGACCTCGACGAGGGCAAGTACTCCTTCACTCTTATCCACTGCATCCGCGCCCTTGAGGCCGACCCTTCGCTCGCCGGTGAGCAGATGCAGCTCCGTGCGCTGCTCATGAAGAGGCGCGTCGAGGGTAAGCTTACCAACGAGGCTAAGCGCGAGATCCTGGATACCATGAAGAAGACGCAGAGTCTCGAGTACACGCTTGAGGTGCTCCGTGAGCTTCACACTAAGCTGGACAATGAGGTTGGTCGTTTGGAGAAGAAGTTTGGCGATGACAACTTTGCGCTGAGACTGATGATGGAGATGCTTAAGGTATAAGGTGTTGTGGACGGTATAATGAGGTGATCGAGCAAGCGGGATGGCAAATTGGCAAGATTTCCTTGTTTTTGTACGTGTTGTTGGTTGTTGTTGTTTTTAGCTTCGTTGTTCAGAATGTTGCTCCTGCCGCCCGATATTAGACAGATCCAGTGTTAAACAGCTGGTAGGCGTTTGGACGTGTGTTTGTCGACTTTAGGATTGAGTTTTAAATGCATCGCTATTTAAAGAACTTTATTTCTTCTACCTGCGAACTTCTGCTTGATTGAATTTTCTAGTTTCTTAGGGAAGAACATACCTATCACGATGTTTTGAGCTGACGCCTAGGTAGGTCAACTCTAGTGCATCTATGGGATATCCGTTCGGCTAAAGAAGCTATAATTACGTTGATAGAATATCTGCTCCTATCCTAACTTTAGGTAACTCCTCAAAGATTCGCCTTGATTCACTTTGATATATTGTACATATTTGCGAAAATGCTCCATAGCGTTCTCTTCCCTTTTTTGGTTTCTATATTAATTGGTAGGAAGATGTCAGATTTGAAACGTATAACAAGTAATCACTACATTGTGATCGTATGGTTTTTGGAGAAATATTATTTTAAGAGGAGAGTGGTGCTATTGTTAAGTAAAAGAAAAAAAATACGAAGAAGAATTCTGATGAGCAATCATCCGTAACAATGATCAGCACAAAAGACAGGATGACATACAGCTTCATTTGAGCGTCCAATAATTAATTGCAGGATTCTAGATTTGATTAGAGGTTAATATAGTAGGATCAGAGCACTTTTTTTGTAATAAGTTTGAGCTATTTTGTTATCTTAGTATAACCGTGAACGTTTACAATTGCAATCTCTAAATACGGATCTTCTTAAACGCATACCAAGAGCATAGTTCGATCTTCACCCTACAAAATAGAAGACGACTCTTGACCCATTGCTACCGCCATAGCCAAATGATACATGACATGACAAACTTTTGTTCCTACTTGGGGGAAACTCACTTGCGCATAGTCCGATTTTCAGAACCTTACTCATCTTTCTTATTCGCCATGGAGATGTTAGCAACATTTCCAGAGTGGAAAGTATTTAACATTTACTACGGATTGATTAGGGGTGCCATGCCGAGCCTACGAAGCCCTAAGCATAAATATACCAGGGATAGAAAGACTTATATCCAAAAATCGTACTAGTAAATAGGATGAGGCTGCGCAAAAGGAGTACAAGTAAAAAGCAACGTGAGGTAGAGATTGGATCAAAAAATTAATCTGTTCATGACTATCGCTCTTGTAACCCTATTGTCATTCTTCGAGGCCACAAAATACAGTCGTGCTATCCATAGAACGGATCGTTCGAAGATACAGCGAGATTAGCTTCGGGGGCCTGACCGATCCTAGCGGGGGTGCCTAAACCCTTGACCTATGGTAGTACACTGCCAACTTTTGGCCCCCGTCGCATTCGCACTTACACATGGGGCTATGTTGCGTACAATATCGCTCTCAGCCCCCTAAAGTTCGTTGGGTCATTCAAGAGCAACTGCTGTTGTTCTTCACAATCATTTTTGTCAAAATGACATCTTCAAACGGTTATGAACGGCCTCCATACCATGATGAGTCCCTCCAACCAAGCGCATCACTAAGAACGATTTCGCCACTCTACAATACTTCCGGGCAGGAAAAGGCACACAGTGCCTCGAAATATGATGTGAGCGCAGAGGCGTTGCTAAACGCCGCACCTGCAAAAGAGCAGACTACTGTAAAATATAGCGAACAACAACCGAACAACTCCGGAAAGCTACACCTCAGAGACTGGTATTGGGAATTTATTGCTGCAATCTTCAGTACCGCATGCGTTATTGCAGTCATCGTTGTTCTAAGGAAGTATGAAGGAAAATCACTATCTAGTTGGCGCTTCTATCACGACATCACGCTCAACACACTGGTTGCCCTGCTCTCGACCCTTTCCAGGACTGCACTCATAGTCCCAGTTGCATCATGCATCAGCCAGCTCAAATGGATACATCTAGTAAGCTCACCTCGGCCTTTACATGAGTATCAGATTCTCGACGAAGCTAGTCGTGGGCCGTGGGGCTCGCTGACACTTATTTTCGCCCTCCATTTCAAAACCAAACTGGCTACGTGGGGTGCCCTTATCACCATTGTATCCCTTACCATGGGTCCACTGTCGCAACAGCTACTTTCGTATCCTTCAAGAGAGCATTTCGAGAGATCCGGGGCTACCTTTTACCGAAATCAAGTTTATGACACTGGCGCGGGATGGGGTGTAACTGGTGCATCTGGTATGATATCCGCAGTAGACCATCAAAATCAATACTACTTGCTAATTTGATATTTAGCAAGAACGATGGATCCTAAGATGCAAGGCGCCATTCTAAACGGTCTATACAATCTCAGCGCGCCTATCCAAGTCCAGTGCCAGACTGGTAACTGTCGGTGGGAGGAATTCACAACTTTGGCCGTGACGAGCGAGTGTAGAAACGTCACATCAAGCAGCAAAATAAATTGTCAAGTTGCTCGGGGCACTAGAAGCTGCAACTATACGACACCATCTGACTTCTTCATTTCATCTTATACATCCTTTTCATCGGGCGGTGGCAGTTCAACTGGGTTCAACAGCACCGCCCGTCCACCCCAAACAACCAGCCAACTTGGCGAAGTACTCAATAGCACCTTATTGGAATTCGCCGCCGCAAAGACGTCGCGGCCGTTTAGCGATGAAAAGCCCGAAATTACCGAATGCAGCATGCGTTGGGTTGCTCGCCTTGTTCAAAACACTACCTTTTCAAATGGTACCTTTCATCCTGGCATCGCTAAAGACTACGAGCTCATCGGCGTTGAAAACCCTTTCAACAAAAACCCCTGGGTTACCTTCAACGTCTCCGACGAAAATGATACATTTCCCGGGAACAACAGCTTCAGCGTTCTTCCAACCGACAACTCTAGACTTATGGGATTTCTTAACATGGTGTTTTCCTCTTCAAAGAAAGACACTTTCGGCCTAGTTCTGGAAAATGTTACAGACTTTACGCAGACTATGGAAAGCATGAGCAATAGTATTACATATACTCTTGGTCAAAGTCGAACCGGTATGGAATTAGCAGGCGAGGCAATCACATTCGAACAGTATGTGTATGTCAACTGGGGATGGATCATCTTACCCATCGTTGAGGTGGCAATGGGAATTGCCTTTCTTTTTGCTACATTGCTGCAGAGCTGGAGGAAAGGGGTAGTGGCATGGAAAGGCTCGGCTATCATACCTCTTGTTACGGAAATGGAGGGCTGGCGTAGTGGGGAGTATAGAGCAGGGTCTGCTCGGGAAGCCGATAAGATAGCGAGGGGAATGACAGGCTTGCTGGAGAGTAAGGAGGATGGTGGTCAGATATTCCGACGCGTATAATAGTGTCGGTTTTGTTACTAGAAAAAATACAGCAAGGCAATGATGAGCAGCAACACATCACATATGCGCGTTGAATGCCAATTGTGAAACTAGTCGTTTCCCACATAGCCCATACCTTTTCTCCACCATTCCCAGACGCCTAAGTTCTCCATCTTTGCTCCAAAATCCTTCACGCTTTCCACCTCTTCTAGTTTCCCGTACGTAATGCCACTCTCTGGTTCCTTTCCACCGGTTTCGTTTTCGGCAGGCTTCTTGACTAGTTGGAAATCTTTATAGCGTAATCTTTGGACATTGGCAACCCAGTCTCTCACGCCAGTCTCTGCGCCTTGACAGTACATGATGCCAGGGCAGCCGCCACTGCGCAGTAAAGCGTATACATTGCAATTCGACGCTGCCGCTTTGAGTTTGGCAACTTTCTTGCGTGAAGTAATGTGGTGCGTTCGAATCAGCGCGTTGTACAGCTGATGAGACATTCCATTGATCTGAATCGTCCAAAAGTCAAGGATGGCATGTATGAGGCTGAGTGTCATCGACCTGAGGCACTGTACACACGTGCAAATACGATGGCGCACGTGACGTCACTAGCGCCAAATGATTTTCCAAGAGCGCGGAAACGCTATGACGTGCAGGCAAGACTCAAGCAAAAGATTTGATCAACGACCGTATGGATCGATTCCGCATACATATTGACTCCACCGGAAAGTTATGAAGACAACTCTGATACAGAGAGTTGTCGCCCCATCGCCGTCGGTTTTGAGCTTCCTACGAGCCCAGGTCAATAATGTCTTCGCATCGCCTATTGCGCAATGCGCCCACACCACTCGGCAATGTCGCGGTTATGCTATCGGCAGTCAGATAGGCAGGAGCCCGGGAAAATGTTTGTTTGGAAGAGTTATGAGTCACTTGCAGAAGGGAGACTTTTCTGGCGGCAGAAGATTCGTTTCCTCTAGGTGTCTAATCGAATCCAACGTATCCCCTCCGCCTCAAGACCGTTCGCTTGTTCTCCGGCACACCCGGCACACCTCATTGCAGCATGTCGATTGCTTCAACTACCGGGCATTTTCCACAACTTGCGCCAACAATGGATGGAACATTTTCAACAGTGCAAAGATGCGAAAGCTGGCGCAGTTGCAACCGCCGCCTCCACCACCGGACGACTCGTCCTCTGGTTCTTCGGGATTCGGAAGTAGTCTGGGACGCATAATGCGACCAACTAACGAGCTGAAAATGCGCTGCACGGAATTGGACGAGCACGGCAACGTCACGCTTGTTAGTGGAGAGTTTAAGAAGAGCGAACTGATCGCAAAGGTATGTAAAGTGCACGGCATATCAACATACCATAGCTGACGACCCGTAATAGTACGGTCTTCTTCCACGCGACCTTCGCAAAATCGACTCATCGCTCCTTCCACATATCCTAGTTCGGCCATCTGCGATTCTCATAAACCTACTCAATCTCCGCGTATTGCTGAAGCACAATCGGGTCCTCGTGTTTGACGCGTATGGCACTACAGATTCGAAATCGCAGTCGGTCTTCATGTACGATCTCGACCTACGACTCCGTCAAAAAGAATCGACCCTCAACGGCACCCTTCCATACGAGTTTCGTGCATTAGAAGCCGTCCTGATCAGTGTAACCTTGAGCTTGGAAAAGGAGTTCGAAGGAGTCAGCGAACCAGTTGTCAGAGTTCTTAGGGAACTCGAGGAGGATATTGACCGAGACAAGCTCAGATACCTGCTGATTTACAGCAAGAAGCTGGGTAGTTTTGAGCAAAAAGCACGATTGGTTAGGAACGCACTGGAAGAATTACTCGAGGCGGATGACGATCTAAGCGCTATGTATTTGACTGAAAAGGCAGAGGGAAAGGTGCGACAAGACGACGATCACACTGAAGTCGAGATGCTCCTGGAATCGTACCATAAGGTCGCCGATGAAATCGTACAGGCAGCCGAGAACTTGGTTTCGAGTATCAGGAACACAGAAGAAATGTATGGAACACTTCCCTTTTCTCCCAGTTTCTTCTTAGTATACTGACAGTACTGTACAGTGTCAAAGCCATTCTCGACGCCAACCGCAACTCGCTCATGCTTCTCGACCTCAAATTCTCCATTCTCACCCTCGCAATCACCGCCGGTACCTTTGTCGCAGCCCTCTACGGCATGAATCTCAAGAACTTTATCGAAGAATCAGATTACGGCTTCTACGGCATCAGCGCTTGGTGCTCCGTGTTTGGCGCTCTCGTCGCAGTTTACGGGTTGCTTCGCCTGCGCAAGGTCCAGAGAGTCAGCATGTACGGACATGGTCCTGGTGCGCTTGTTACTCGGGAGCCGACGAGACCAGTAGTAGCTGCGGGAGGAGGTGGATGGGGTCTTGGAGCTTGGGGCGGAGGCAGCAGGAATGGTGTCAGCAGGGGAGACAGTATTATGCCTACTGCAGCGGACCTAAGTGGTATGCCCAAGCGAATGGATACGTTTGCCAGTGTCCTAGAAAGAGAGAGGGCAATGGCACGGAAGATTGCAAAGGGTGATGCCAGAGGAGATGACGCGAAGAGAGTTTGATTTGGGCTTTTTTTTCCCTTCCTTTTCTCCCAACTCTTTGGAGGATTTGTTTCAAAATTCCCGTTCTTTTTGTTACATCTCTGCTCAGATATCCCTCCTCATCTGTTTACGCTACATGTACGATTATTCCCGGGGATCTTGGTCGCATAGCGTTGGCGTTTGGGAATACATCTTAGACTAGACACGTTGATATCATTATTGTACGAGTACATGTACGTATTCTAATTTTACTTGAACTAGACCTACGCGCCAACAGTCCGATCCATATCTTTTGCTCCCCCATATCCCTGCTCCCGCCTCTGCTTCGCTGCGCCCTCGTCATCATCAGCCAGTGCCTCTGTTCCTCCAAAGCCCGTATCTGCCTTTGCATTACCACTTGACGTCGTGGTCTTGCCGCCCATGCCGCCCTCTTGGATGCTTTGGCCGTAGCGGATCTTGTCTGCAGGCGTGATGCCATGTGTGTTTGGGGCGCCAGGGTCTGCTGTCTTTGCGTGGACTGATGTGCCTTCTGAAGAGTCTGTGGGAAGGGATAGGGTAAGCGACGTACATTAGGGAAAATAGGGGGAACATACTGCTCAATTGGCCGTACTTCTTGTCATGTGGTTCGGCATATGTGTGGACGCCTTCGTATTGGGTTTGCTCGCCGCCAACCTCAGTGTCGATGAGCTTGTCTGACATGATGATAGATGGAGTATGTTTGAGTGAATATGAGAAGGCACGAGTATGGCAGTTGATTCTGAGGGTATGTGTGGTATGTAGTGTAGTTGAAGCTCGAGAGCTCGAGATGTTTGGGTAGGTTCGATAATAGCTTATGACGTAACTACCAAACGCCGGTACGCGAAACGCGCTCAACAACGCCAGAACACCTCACGCTAAGTCTGCCTATGCCTGATTCTTATTCTAGTTATTTTGATGATGATACCCGGCGATATTGCCCCTCTATTATGCGGAATCGAAGTCCAAGCCCATGGAATAGCTGCGGTGATTGTTAGTCTCATACACACATTGCCAATGTCTCCAGTCTTCACATACCTTTCGTACAGCCTCATATACTTTGCAACAAACGCCTCGAGATGGAATATATGCTTAGCGCCCATCTTACACCTATGCTCATAGAAGGCCGCCCATTTGATGACTTCTGGCTTCAGCGCGTCGTCCGTTTTTGGTATGAGTTTCCACGTGAGCGTTTTGATGATAGTCGTCGGGTCGATGCAGTGTGATAGAAGATCGTAGAGGGAAGCGCGAACCTGAAGGAGCCGTTGGGGAGAGCGCTCTTCGACAATTTGGCGGGCGATCTGCTCGATGAGCGCTTCCCAATCGGGAGGGGGAATGTGCGTCTGATCTGTAATCTTCTCGCTAGTTGCGTGTCAGTTACAGCTGAGTATGTAGAGACAATATAATGGCGTACTTTTGTGCATGCACTGCTTCGAACATCAAGAGAGCCTTTCGCAGGTTGCGCCCGCTGTCTTTCGCTATTCTCTGGTGTAAGCTTTCAACATCCTTCCATCCCTCCTTCTTTCCCACTTTGCTCAACACATCGCAGATCTCAGCCTCGGTAGGCGCCGCAACTCTGACAAGCAGCGTTCTACTTCTGATAGGGGCAATGATGTTACTCGTCGAATTTGCCAACAGGATCAATCGCAAGTTGGGACTGTATTTCTCCATGGTCCGCCTCAATGCTGCCTGGGCATCTCTACTCAGATGGTCGGCTTCGTTGATAACGACAACCTTGAAGCGCTGCTTTGCGCCCAAATCGACTTGCTGCGTCTGTGCGACCTCCTTGAGCAAGTCCTGTACCACTACTCTGTCATAGTTTCCAACATCTGAAGGCGTAATCTCGAGGTGATATACTGAGGCGACAATGTTAAATTCGAGCTTGCGGTTGGTCGTGGTCTGGAAGACACGCGCATCAATTTTGATCTTTTCGACACCGGGGCCATAGAGTTCTTTGAGGGTTGCGACGATACGCGTCTTCTTGCCTGCTCCAGAAGGGCCGTATACGAGGAGATGGGGGAAGTCACCGCTTTGTGCCTGTAGTGTGATGCGTTAGGCCCAGCCCGTATGCGAAGTACTCTCTTGGATTCCTTACCAGAGCTCGTAGGCGATCTGAAAGCTCAGGATGATAGCTGAGCGCTTCAAGGTTACGCGGCCGATGCTTGTCTACTAAAAGTGCCATTGCGTGATTGTGGTCTGTGGATGTCTTGGTGGGAATGTAAAAGTTGGCGCAGCGTGCACTGGGCAGACGCGTCGACGCGTAAAGTGGTCAATGGCTTGGCATCCAAGTGCAACCACAGCCATAGCCCGCCCGTCGTGTCACCAGCTCAGTTTGCTAAGCTTCTCGGCGATCAGAAGTCAAGGGCCTTGGCTCTCAGTATGTAAACCTGTACATAATACACTCGACCCTCTCTCCTCATCACCCTGTACCTAGCGTTTTAGTATAACAAGCGCAGGACCGGACCGACCCCACCAGCCCCGCGACACCAATCCTTACATCCAAGACATTTCCCTCACCAATCTGCATCTGGCTGAAACCGATGTTCCTCTTCCTCTTTACATCGTTACATGCAGCGATGTTTGCGACTAGGTAATTAGTACAAAGGCTAGTGCCAGCTTCAGCAATGGTCACACCAACTCCCATGTCAATACGGCGCGAGTTGCAATAATAGTCATTGACTAGGATTCAGATTATATGATGCATCTATGTCTTTCAAAGTTGTAATAAACATATAAATCACAAACTGCAATCCCACGATAACTTTCAGCTTCAGTGTAGACAAGTAGTACATGGTTAGTTTCATCAAAAATCCAGCTCATTGATATTAGTGATTTGTTGAGTCAAATCACTGGCTATTTCCTTCTATCTTATATTGAAAGACAACATTCCCATTCATCCCCTTGTACTTCTCCCTGACTTAAACGGAATCACTACGTATCGTAGCTGCGGGCATAATAGAAAACAGAATGCTCAATCTGGCACTGCCAAAACTGCGACTCATACACCAGGACATGAGCATGTACCCAAGATTTTTTGGGTACAGAACCCCCAGAGCGACTACAGCTTTCTAGGCGTTTGTATTGGCTGTTGTTTGTTGTTTCGTTGTCCATGAATGGTAGGTGACAGCAGTCTTACAGCATTACCAACCAATCTTGAAAGGTACTGGATGTTTCGTGCTACTGAGGCAAACATTTAGAAGTGCAGGGACACTCAGAAAGTGATAGACCATGTGGAAGTAGGAAATTGGATGCTCACCTCTGAATCAGTGTCTTTTTTTTTCATATAAACCCAAGTCTGCTTTCAAAGATTTGTCTTACAGACGTGAAGACGGGACATAAAAGGAATCATTGACATTCCTCTAAAAAAGGCGCTCTTACCTCGCATGAGAGATTTATATCGGAAATAGGAGAGTAAGCTATTGTATTCCTTGCCCATTCTCCATAAAGTTACTCCTGTAAGAGTCAAGTATCCTCAAAACATAAAGGATATCCTGGGTTTAGAGAGTCGCCTGCATTTACAATCGCATCAAAAATTCCGCCCACCTGGTTCCTTACTCAGAAGCCAATCCTTGCTCGTCAACGATGCCGAACAGGGAGTCTATGTTCTTTCGAAAGCAGACTCACTTTGCCAGCCCTAGACCAACCCGCTTTATCGATGGCACCAGTACAGTACGGTTCATGGAACAAAACCTCACCGTGCCGGAGTCCATCAACAACCGCAAAGTCCGTAAATCGGCGCCTATCATACCCAAACAGCTCTACCCCAATCCAAACCCAGGTGTAGCCTCGCACTATATCAGGCGAAAGCCACTTCTCCATGCAGCCCAGAATCCAGCACGAACAGTGAACAAAAGAGCTTCAACCCGTGACAGTAGCATCTTGCTCCCGCCCCTACATATACGCCGTAGCCTCGAAATACCCCGCCGAGCCCTATGCTTCGAAGACTTCGTACCAGAGCACAAACTCAAGACATGGCATGAGGTGGACGATGATGAGCGGCGGAGTACACACACAAATTCGTTAAGTATCTTGATCGCCAACATCATCGATAAAGTCAGATACCAGGTTAGGAAAATAACACGGTATACGCGTCTCTGAACACGCATGGCTGGGTTATTGTGGGATGCATATTTTTGTACGATTGTGGTGTGCCTTGCGTCAGGAAGCAGTGGAATTTATTCTAAGAAGCGATCGAGTTACCTAGAGCCAGTCAACTCTGACGCAGCAATAGATATGGAAGTAGATGAGAATATGTACACGCATACTAGGAAAGAAGTCCTACATAGCGGGTAGCAGGATTTTAAGACAAAGGATGTGACTGCTATTGCAATGGTGATGGTATGTTCCGAGACGCAGCCCCACATCCCGCAAAAACCGATGACGACATGAACCCTCCCCATCTAAAACATCGCACCCAATGAGTCATTTTCTATTACCTACGCAGCTCACGAGACCACTTGTCACGATCCTTCTCAGCAAAGCGCTACGCAACCGCTCGAACTTTTGTGTTCCGCATTCTGCCAAGTATACAATTGATGTAAATTTGCATTTCCCCATCGAGCACAATAGCCCGGCTGGCACAGTAAGTTCCACCTCTTCACAATCAGAGGATCATCGGTCTAACAGCTCAAATCAGATTGGTTAGCGCGTGAGACTTTTAATCTCAAGGCTCAGGGTTCGGTAAGCAATTACCCCCATACATCATGGGTTCGAGTCGCCTAACTAACAATTACGCAGAGTCCCTGGTCGGGCGATCCGCAAACATCTTTTTTGCCCTAAGCATTGCATGCTTCGGTTTCTTCTCTTCTTTTTTGCTTGAAACAAACTGCATTATAAACAGACATGCTACTTTTTTTTACTTAATTAAAATATGTATCTCCCAGTAAACGTTTAGAGTAAGATCTATCTCTTTTCCTACCTACCTAAATCTAAGCTTCATCACTGTGAACCCCCCTACCCCTCCCCATCTTCTTCTTCCCCAAACTATCTACCTACCTACCTACCACCTTCTTCTTCTCCTTCTCCTTCTCCTTCTCCAACCCCCCGCCCCAAAAAAACAACAGACGGAAATTAAACACCCCTTCAACGTCACAAGCACAGATCCGCCTTCCTTCTCTTTCCCTTGCCCCACGCTGTTGATATCAGTAACAGTCCGTGCATATACACATAAATCTAACCCAAGCACAAGAAATGACCTAAGAGATGGGAGATGGGGGGGGGGGGGAGAGACCACCAAAAAGTCCCTGACCCCGTTCCCCCCCGGGTTAGAATGAGAATGTGGATGAAGGTTCTAAAATTTCCAAGCTCAGACTTAAGCTTTTTTTTTTGGAAATTTTCGCGCAGGGAAAGGGGGGGGTCAGTGCTGTGTTATTTCTTTTCTTTTGTTTCTTTATTTCTAGAGAATGTATGTGGCACGCCCACGTGCTTTTCGCTTGTTGTTGCTGCTGTTTTTTTTGGTCACAAGGACAGTGCGTGGTGTTCGAAGAAGCGGAAGTAGGAAGTCGGGAAAAAAAAGAAACAGTGAGGAAGAAAGCATAAGGGTCTGGTGTGGGCTCGGTATGCCCTATTTCCTTTTTAAGGATATTGTTGGGTGCGTAGATAAGGCTGGCTGACTGACTGACGGAGTCTCGGACTTCTGTGCGTATGTAAGGGCAAAACAAAATCCTCGTTCCCGTCTTTTGTATCTCGAAACAAAAGTATCAATAGTGTTATTGTTTTTCTCTCTGTATCTCTCTCTCTCCCTCGCTCTAATTTATTTCCTTTACTTAAAGATAAGAATGGACGCATGTCGAGTACGTGCGTTCTATGTACATGTGAACCAAGGTCGTATATGCCCATTCACCCTGTTGCTGTTGAAAAAAAAAACCAACCATGCGTGATCATGCGGGATAGAGCCTCCAGCCTTCAAGCAGCATATTGCTTTATTGTGGCGAGGCTACTTTTCCGGCAACAAGAGCAATCAATGCGGCCCCAACGCCGGAACCGTCCTTTGCGATACCGATCCGGATCCTCTTCTCCCCCTTGACGCCAATCTCGGGAACAGCACGCAGGGCCTCGCGAATGTACTCCTCAAAGTTGGGGTAGAACTCGACTAGCGAGCCGTCGACACCAATGTCGATTTCGTCGCCTTGTTCACTGTCGACGTCGCCGCGTGGGGGCTCCACGCCTGCTTTTTGTTCAGTAGTGGCAGTTGCCGCAGACTGGCTCAGACGGCCAGTGTTGATTACTACACCAGCAATGGCAACCGCAGCGAGACGAGCTGCACGGCGGCCAATCGCCGCGGCGATTTCGCGGACGGCCTCTGCGTCTTCGGCGCTGACAGCGGAAATATCATACTCCTTGTCAAGAGTTTGTCTCAGCATGCGCAGACCAGGGCTGTGGTCACCAGCGCATACACTGAGGAAGCTCGTGTCAATGCCCCACTGTTTCCATATTGGGCTACCATCATGAATTTGCGTGGTGCTGTGCACATCGTTGGACGACGAGTTGTCGTCAGTGAAGAGCGGGACCTTAGGATCCTTGATGAGCTTGAGCAGAGCAAGACGCAGAAGCTCACCCAGGAACATGCCTGATACACGCTTCTCAAACATCTGGATACCAGGGTTCACCGAGTTCTTGTCAAGCTCAATATCGTACGGATTGTTGGGCAGGGTGCGCAGCGAGTTATCAAACGAACCCCACTCAGTGTTGACAACCATCTCACCTGTGGACTTGTCATATTCACCCACTTCCTTATCATTGGTGAGCTTTGAGACCTTGGCCAGCTTCTCTACATACGCTCCATTGGTACCTGTTCCGAAGATGGCTCCAAGCAAGGTTCCAGTCTTTCCGGGAGAAGTATATGAGCGTGCCATGAGAGTTCCAACGGTGTCGTTGACCAAAGCAGCCACTTTGACGGGGAGGTGTAGCTCGTCAATCTCCGCCTGGAGCAGGGCACAGACGTCCTTGCCAATGGCATCTTCAATATCGAAGCCCTTTGTCCAGCGCATCAGCAGGCCCTTGTTGATGCCTATTTGCTGGACTGGGAAGGAAAAGGTGAAGCCCAGGTTGAAGATTTCCTCCTCTTCTGGCTGGCCTGCCTTTCCTTCCCTGCGTCGGAGAGTGCCGGCGTAGTGGTCCTCGTGATGCGCTTTCAGGAAGGCTTCAATCTGCTTTGCAAGGAAGGAAAACAGCTCCTTGGATGTCTTGGCAACCATGAGGTCGCGAGGAATGGCGACTTTGCTCTGGGTAATGGAGAAGGTGGTGTTGCCATGTAGCTTGATGGAGCAGACGCGAAAGTTGGTGCCGCCCAAGTCAACAGCCATGTAAAGACCCTGTTTGATTTAGAGATGGGTTCGCTCACGTGCGCGTTGGAGAAGTGTACCTTTTCCGTGCCATTGGGAACGGCAGTCACGTAGGAGGGGATCTGGCTCATTTCGGTGCCCTTCTTCTCCAGGCCCTCGTCTGCGCGCCTGTCAGCGGGTAGATAGAGTAACACAAGGTGGGCGCATGCATACCCATCTCCCTTATGAATTCCTTGACGGCCTTGTTGACGGCATCGTCGCTAAAGTCAAACTCGGCGGCGACGTGCTTGGCCTGGTCGGCGAGAGCCATGCTGCGCTTGTGGTTTCTGTTGAAGGTGCCGACGAACTCGACGTGTTGCTCTGGTTTGGGGCAGACGGGGGGTTCTTGTAGGACGAAGGGGTTTCGGAGGGTTATGGAAGGAGCTTGCTCTCTGTCAAGGATGCGGACGATGGCGTGTGGAAGGTGGGGTGCGAAGAAACCGGTAGCAAGCGCTAGCAGGAGAACAAGGACAGTGGCTACTGTGTGGGTCACAGGAGGCCGCCTGGAAGTGTTTTCTGACCGGGCGAAGTGCTGGGTATGCCTTGGGCTCTGCGATGGGCGCGTGGCCTTACTTGGGCTGGACAGCGAGCCGTTCCAGCTGCTGCTGCGGCGGTGGGCGTTGGTGGTACCAATGCTGCTCATGCTTATTAGAGTAGTAGCTGCCCCGCCTTTACCAGCTATGACGAACGACGAGGGGCAGGCGGACTGGGGGGGTGCTTGGGCGTTCAATGGACATGCGTCAACACCATAAGCCTGCATGCCAACGCGGTGAGATACGGGACAGGACGCCTTCAGTTTCGTGCCATTGGCCCGAAGACGGGACGTCGGTACCAGAGCATCCGTGCCTTTGCGTCGCGACCTGGCACGCACACGCTACGCTAACCACTGCTACCCCCCGGAACATGCAGCCGATGCCATCGCATCGTGAAGCCCGCGCATGTCTCTCGGCGCTACCGTCACCTCTCTTCTACCCCATGACCCCATTCCCTGGGCATTCCATCTGACAAAGCGCCCGACCATTCTATAGCACTCGACTAGAACTTCACTAAACATTGGACTTGTTGGCCTGCTAGCACATTCACAATGCTACTTATGCACAAAATGTCACATGTCCGACAAGGAAAACGCTTCGTTTGCTTTTATGTGTGGGTGTGGATGTGGGTGTGAGTGTGAATGTGTGAGTGTGTGCTGAGCTACCATAATGCTCCCCCAAATCCCACCAAGAGATAAGAAACAAAGAAAGACACAAGAAAGAAAAAGACTGGCCATACGCGCCCGAAGGCAGTACTTATACACCCGCCAGTTTGCAACAGCTCAAGGCCCTCCAGGCAACAAAAGTAGAAGTGAATGCCACAGAATTACAAGCAGCTCAATCCATGTGATGTATATCGAAAACTCCGTAGTATAGCAAACAGGTGGCACGAGTAGACACCAACCCTCCACTGACAATAAAAAAAGACCAATGCAATCAAGGAAAAACATGATTAGTGGGCTGCCTCAACAGGCAACCCGTATGGAGAAGGCCAAAACGACAAGGAGAGGCTGGTGCGGACGCTGCAAACAACAATCTACAAGTATGTACCATAGTGACAAAAGAGAAATCCCGATGACTGCAGCCCTGGCAATCGCATGGCCGGTCCGTTTGCGTCAAATGTGTGCCCCTTTCCCGCCCATTTCTATTCGTCATTAAATATCCGCCTTCTGGCAAAGCCTAGGCTCTTCGTAATACTGCCCCGACCCCAGTCGGAACTTGCTTGGGTGTGCTTGGTCGGTTC